ATGTCACAACCGCACGCCGACGCCACGCGGCCCATGGAGACTGCAACGCCGGGCGTCCAGCCTACTGTTGCCATGACTTGCGAGCGCGTATGTTCAAAACCATATTATAGTTTTTATCAGTAGTATATTCTGACTGAAACTTGCACATCTTAACACGAACATATGTAAGCCATGTCAGTACAAGCTTAGGACCCCATTTCATCCACAATCCACGTTCAAATATTCCTCAATATCTCCGAAGAACACAGAACAACACGGAACTGAAGCCTGTGTGATAATTATTGGACCACCTTTGGCGATCAAGGATAGTGTTGCGTCAGGGAGATACAAACACATTGCTTTCGTCAAAGAAATCCGTCATTAATTGTCGTAAATTCCTACAAACTTATGTGGCAAACAACAACACAACCTTGAAAGTGGACTTGGTGCGTTTTCCCCGCCATTATTCATGATATCACTAACGCAACTGGAATCGCAAAAGCAGCGTATTCTCAGCTAGCTCGGGGACTAATTTAAGTTGGGAGTGATGCTGGTAAATATATTTTGGTGTCAGCACGGAGACATATATCAAAACGTTAACGAAAAAATCAACGCCTTGGTAAGGCAGGCGGACAATTTTACACATCTTGCCTACCAGCAATTTACCCATACCAAGGAAATGGCCACGCAGGCACTTCAAAATGGAAAGTGCATTAAGGAAGGCAGTCGTGGCTGGGGGCCAGAGTCCTGCTGGTCTGCCACCCGCCATCTTCCGCATCATATAAGATGTCGTCCTTAGGCTCTCTGACGACGAGGCGCCCGGGCTCTGTCAGGGAGCCCCATTTGTCCTCTGGTTTTCAGCTCTGCCCAACTCTCAATGCCGAGGAAACCATGCGACGTTTCAGACTTGTTCTGATGTGACATCAGAGACAAAGTAGGCTAAGTGCTTGTTCTAGTTCGGCCTGATCTTAACTTATGCCAAAGTTGTTCGGTCCATCGTAATGTAGCCCGACATTTCGGTGAGGCTAAATCTATCAGATGGCTTGCCAAGTCCGTCTGCGATTTCAAGCTAACTGACGGAGATGGTTGATCTCCGGCTAGCTTGATTTGATTCGCCACCGAAATTCCAGTCTACAAAGCGTAACGATTCAACTTACTCGACGCTTTAATTACCCGCGTTCTGATTTTCTATCATCCAAGTTGAGTAATGAATTGCGTGTTCCTTTTGCCTAAACTGTGTAACGGTTGAATCTGCTTTACGCCCACTTGTTACCCGAACTGTCGAGTTGAAACCCAACTAAATTTACACCGTATCCCTTGGTTGTCAAGTATCGATGGGCTTGCAGTCTCCTTGCTTTTCAAGTTAAGTAACAATTGTTAGCAAATGCCGCTTCTTAGTTCTCCAAATTAAATAACAATCTTTCGTCACCGGCACTGATCAGTTTAATTTCTATACGGTGTTCTTTGTCATCCAATGCATTATCTAGGTTGAGGAACGACTGACTCGCCGTCCCTTTATTACCGACCCTATGAAACCAACTGTTATTAGATTCTCTGTGGAAGTGTTGACTGTGTAGACGCACGGGCTGACCACCTTCGGAATCACGGCTATCATATATTTGTTACGCCAACCCTCGGTATTGGAATCGACTCTTGTATCTGACAAGATGGGACATGTAGTCATGGCCCTTTTAGAAACAGACACCCTGTCCAATGATGGCTTATAAGCTTTGTAACCGACTGAACCCATTGCAACTGTCAATATGTGACTATCCGTTCCCGCCTTTAAGTGAATAAGGTGACCGTATTACTTCATTGGTGTAGCACTTATGTTAGAATATATTCTTGGAAAATTTTCGACCAAGTCTGGAACGATCTCTGGGGATAAGGGTAGGAACACGCGCCACTTGGTAATGCTTTCGTTCTAATAATCTTTCTTCGAAAACAGTTTGAGCCCTTCCATATTTCGCCTCGTTTCAACATGTGGCGATAGTTAAGCTCCCTCGCCGTCTGGATAAAAGCTTGCATCTGATAAAATCGATGCAAGGATGAAAGATCCGAGATGAGGACGTTTCTCAGCGTTCTGAGGTTCAGTTTTTTTAATGCCCTTCAAACGGGCGAGAGTCGAGAAAAGACCGCTTGCAACAACTGCACTGACTTAAGAGTTCGGTTGATCGCCTCGGGTAAGTCCTGGAGAGAACACTGCCACAGCGCAGGCACAGTCAGTCTCAATATATGAGCCACGACGGGGAGCTTGCTGCAGCTGTGTCAATGCCGGACAATTGCATGGCCCGGCCAGAACACACAGGGGCCGATCAAGACAGCTGTATGACGAAACTGCTGCTTGAGGAAAAGACAGCGTGAAACGGGCCGGCCCTGCCAGTCGACGAGGGATCCAGAGGGAAGGGGGTATTCTGGATGCCGCCCGGCCCTGACGGTGACGTAGCCCTTCTTAGCTGACGGAAGCGGCGGCGCTACTTTTAAAACAGCACATGTTCTTAGCCCCCTGCCCTTAATGCATCAGTTTGGCAATCAGCCGCGTCGGCGGCAGGATCTCTTCCAGTACGTCTGAGCACGGCGACACCAACGCCGGCCAATCAAAGCATCGCCATCTATCGAGAAAGATGTGATACTAAACTTACATAAACGTCCACAAAGTTCGACTAACCCTCTGTGTGTACTAGCGTCCCTGGTGGCTTTATTTTACTCTAAAAATATTGCAATAAATTGATGAGACATCTATGCCTAAAAATTGGCTAAATACTACGAATGAGATTTAAATGTTATCTCTTATTTTATTGAGAAAAAACAAAGACTAAGCACCAAAGATATCTGCAACTGTTTTTTCTGGTCATATTCATCTTTCATTAGGCCTCCTCGCCCACCCGCTCCTAAAGGGTACTGCGTCACACTAGTTTAGAAAACATGGCTTCTGCTACGGAGTTTAGTTCCGGCAAAACAGTGCTTATTCTCTCATTGGTGATTGGTTGTTTTGCAATACTATGGCCAAGAATATTTTATCCAATGCTTCAGGCATCGATCTCATCTGCCACTGATGCACCATACTCGGAAGGTTAGAGCCAAACCACGGAAATGTGTTTCGATGACAAATGTGGCGTGCCGCGGCAAAGCTCAGTATGACAATTTTAGGGAATATCTAACGTATTCGTTATGATGTGAATGATGTGAGTGCTGGCATCTGTCTTAACTTAGCCAAAACATTAGGTCGCATATATTTGTAGTTGTTCTCACTCATCATTTGCACTGTTGGTGTGCATGCATCAAAATATCGGTCTACCCTGACCAATGAAACATGAGAGTCCTGTGCATTACAATTTACCACCATGTGCCCTTAAATTACTTGGTCATCATACCTTATAAAGTCAAATGCAACTATAATCATGAAATTACTTTTCCCTCTAGGTCACACCAATTAAGTGCTGTTGAATGGAATCTCAGGACAACTAGTTGTAGAGGATACAGTATTTGCCACTCATATCCTGGCATTGTTAGGTGCTGTTTTTTTTTGGACTGAAGGCCTTCAACATTCACAGAGGGCCTCAAAGACAGCAGCCAGCACAGTAACAACAGCTTTGCCATTTTTGCCAGCTGGAACAAAACCTGCTTGCAAGAGGATTACCTATTTAGGATAATTTTGTGCTTTTCCAAAAATTGTTGCTGAATGACAAAATTAGTACCAGTTTGTGGCTGACATTATATGCTGTTGCACCACAATTGCCAACATCACGTGCCAGTCACCCAGCACCCTTGAGATTCCTGATTTTTCAGACTGATGGCTGCAAGTCATGTCGGGGCATGTGATGAGTTTGGGCTGCGTGGCACCAGTTTCAGGTGTATACCACTCCAGCATTCTGCCCTGTTGCCACCCGGTGGCCTTCACCAAGGAGCTGAATGCACTCCTACTTCATGGAGCTATGCAACCGGCTCAAATGGCGATCCGGCCGGCGACAGGCCGACCTCCTCCTGCCGCCGGAAGCCGCGTCCCGACATCTGGACGCCGGGCCTGGCGCGCTGGTGTCGGGACGAGCTGCGCGCACCTGCGGCACGTTGCTGGACGAGCCAGCGCTCGAGCGCTAACCGGCGCGCGGCGCATCGCCGCGACGACGGCGATGCGGCCACGGCCAACCTGACTCGCTGCCTGGAGACGAGCTACGATTTGCGGCGCGAGGAAATCCGACCGACGCGGCTGCAGCAGCAGGCGGGCACCAGTGAGCGGCAGGGGGCTGAGGAGCGCGGCCGGTGCGCGGCCGCCGGCGGCGACCACTAACCGCATGAAAGAGGCGCTCCGGGACGCGCTCGAGCTGGGCTATCGGAAGGAGACAGGAGTGGACGGAATTACCGGCGACTGCACGCTCCTGAGACGTCAAGGGCCCATGTGGCTTGGTGGGATGGCTGTCGTCTCGCAACTAATGGAACGCGCTGACAAGAATGCTACCAGAATAATACAGGACAGCCAGTTTTCAACCAGGCTGGATGGCTGGTGTGTGAGACTAATCAAGGCACTACTCATGAATGTGAAGTGCTTGGATGATTGCTATTAGCATAGTTTGTTGGACTTCCTAGCGTGTTGATTGCGAAGCTTGCAGTGACCGGTATAACTGGTCGGTGTGCTTGTTTCGATTTACAACTGTTAACTGGACATGTGCCTATTGCCGCCGATTTCAGCAATGCATTATTTGTGCGCAGTTTTGTCGTTGCCGTGCGTAATTTGGCTACGCTGGGCCACCGTATGGCACGTCCTTTTACTTTTGTGAGAGATCCAGGCGTCGCTCGCCAAAGCCCGCAGCGGACGGTCAGTTTCGCCCGCCGCACCCTGAGCCTTCCCCGCCACCTCCCGTGCCACGTGGTGGTCGCGCCGTCCGTCGACCCGCCGGCCCGCTGACGCCGCGCCAACGCCCGGCAGAGTACCCGCAGCAGGAGCGGCCGGCCGGCGGCCACCCGAGCCTGCGTGACCCGCCGCACGCGGCAGCCGCCGCCGCCCACAGCCAGACGCAGCACATGGCCCGCCAGCCGCGCCGCCCCGTCGACAGGATGGCCAGGGTCAGTGGACGCCGGCGATGGTGCGGGCGGAGCGGCCGCGCCTGGTCCGGTGTCGTGGGGTCTGCGCGCGCCGCGACCACGCCATGCGGTCTGTCTACGGGGCCAGTTGGTTCACACGATACACCTGTGGAGCGGGAGCTGACTCAGTGGCAGCGTTTTGTGCGCGATGGCGGAAGTTGAGATGTAGCGGGATGGGGGGGGGGGGGGGGGGGGGGGACTTACGACAATATGTGCCATTTACGTGCTACGGTCGACTGAACTTTTGTATTCTAAGTGATTATGTCCAATGTGGCTCGGTGTTCCGTTCCTCCATGCTGGCCTCTGACGAGCCTGCAGGACCTCAGACCTGTCGTTTGCCTGTGCAATCTTGTTCATTGTTACGTGCATGATACCAGCAAAAAGTCACATTTAGGCTTTGAACACCCTCGGACGGCGTCCCCTGCGGCGGTCTGATACCACCGTTCCGCCCGCCGGCGCCTGCGCTACCGCGGTCCCCCCGTCGCCAACCCTCTGATACCGAGCGCCCTCCTCCGCAGCCCCCGGGACCCCAGCCGGGCATGCGGCCCGGCGGCGGCTACGGCGGCTTCATCCAGCCGCAGACCAAGGGCAGCGGTGCCATGGGCATCATCATGCCCATCTACACCGTCGGCATCGTCGTATTCTTCCTCTACACCATCATGCGGGTGAGCCGAGGCGCTGTCGGGCGATGGTGGCCCAGCTCGGTGGTTACGGCGTCACGCTCCCATGGGCCAGCCCGTCGTCGCGTTCGTGTCGCCTGCGTCGGCACGAGACAGTCCTCGAACGGAGTGGCTGGGCTTATGACTGCTTGCGTTGCGAGTCGTCGCAGAAAGCGATGACTAGTGCTGGCTACCTGTCGGGAAAGATCTACCATGCCGTTGGCAAGTTTTGATCGCTGTTCGGTTAAAAGGGCGGGAAGGTTATTTGTCAAGGATATCCGCACCAGATGAATTGTTGGAATGCTGGCGAGACAGTGCCCAGTGGCGTGTCCACTGGGGAACAATGCAGATGACACACGGATTCGACCTCGCGATCTTGACGCTGCCCCGGCATGCGCCAGGACGGATCAGATCATTGAACCGTCTGGTCACACGCGCCTCAAATTAGCTTTATGCTCGACATTGCATCGGCCGGCGCGTCCGGACGATGTAACGAGGCTTCCCTGGACATAGCCTCCGCGTCCAGTCCCGAACGACCCGCTTCCTGCGGATGCCCAGCTGTGGTGACGGCTTGACGGCTCGGATACACGCCTGTGTGCCGGTGTGCCGGCACCGATAAGACGTCACCTTGGCATGCCGCCGACGCCGGAGGGGCGGGCCGCACGCCAGCACAGGGCGGCAGAACCGGGGATGACTTTAATTGTGCCTAGGGTGGTTGCAAACGGTCTGCTTTGTCGAAATGTAAGATGGACAGAAGTAGCTGACGCGGAAGAAGAGCACTACTTACAGTTAAGTGTGCGCGATTCCTGACTCCGTGTTGTGGTGTGGCCGTCATCCATTCCGTGGCCGTGGACGATAGCTGTAACGGAAGTCGGCACGGAGTAATAATCACAAGGGGCGTCAGATTAAGGTGCAGCACATTTAGTGTTGTACCTTGCAAATAATGGCCTTATCAGTCGACGGGAGCAGCGGAGTAGTGACCGGAATGTCTGTTTTTCCATCACTGGTGGCGTGCTCACCAGCTGCGCACACATCAGTTCCAGATTAAAATGGAACGTGTGGCACCCGAGAACACAACAGACCCTCTCCGATCGTCCCAAAATAGCACAAACGAGGCCTTCGAAATACTGGTGCTGGTCACAGACCCGTCAGCGGCTCGACGCGCTGCTGGTTTCTATCCGCGGCCGGTGCGCGTGATCCAAAGCGGGCGCCGCTGGCCGCTGTCTGCTGTTGCGAGTGACGTCACTGACCGCCCCACGACGACCGCTGTGCCGCGGTCAGCCGGCCTCGCTCGGCCACCGCCGGCAGCCTGGGATCGGACTGCGAGTGGTGCCCGGCTCCGGCAGCGCACAGGCGCGGGGTGACCGTTCCAGGCGACCGGGGCGCGGCCGAGGCGTGCCCCGGCGCCGCGGCCCTGACTCACCGCTGGCCGTGTCTCCGGCCGGCGTCACGTGACAGCCGGCGGCGCACGACCCGGCCGTCACGTGACCGGCCGGCGCCGGTATTTCGAGCGCTGGCCGTGAGCCAGACGTCGCCGGCCTGCCGGTCACGGCCGCCGTCCGGCGACGCGCCGATCAACACATGCCGCCACGGCTCGTGGCGAGGGGCGCGTGCCGACGCGACCGCCCCGCGGCCGGCCGCTGGTCGCTGATGTGGGGCCGACGACGGACGCGCCGGCAGCGACGACACGCGTCGGACGTGTGTGGCGAAGCGGGTCTGTCGTCTGGTCTGACGCGCGGCTGACGGCGGACGATAAGCCGTGACCGCGAGCGGAGCGGGCTGCCACGCTCCGCGGCCACACGTGAACCGACAGACGACGAGCTGTGGGTGGGTTCGCAGCCGGGCCACCGTGTGCGCGCCGCCCGCCGCTGCGGTGACGCGAGAGCGTGCTGGCGTCTGTGAACAGCCGGCGGCGGCGAACACGACCTCCGACCTTCACCTTCCCCGCCGCCGCCGCCAGTAGGGAGGGGGGGGGGGGGGGGCAGGGGGATGGGCAGCCGCCCGCGGCGTCGCGCTATTTCCACCGGGCCAGCTGGAGACCAGCTCGACAGCCGGCCGGCGGTGAATCGCGCGGTGTCCGCCCCCGCGCCGCAGGCCGCCGCCTGCACGGGATGTGGGCTGGATTCCACGCGCGGTACTCCTCAGCACGAAGCAATGCCATGTCTGTAATACGCCGAGACATGTAGTGAAAGCAACGGCATTTCGATGCTGTCATGCCAGGGCTGGTGTGGCACCAAATGCGTTTAAAGAGCACCACCAGCACCACCTGTCGGAAACGATGAAAAAAGTCAGCATGAAGCGCTTCAGCGCGATACACTTGGTCATTCAGCCCCTGCATACATAGTTTATACTCAGGTTGTTTGGCAACACCCCAAGCATATCAGACAAACAAAACTGACGGGCGGTGAGCTGGGTTTCCTGCCATGTGACTAGATATCTTTGCGTTCCATACGCTGACATAGTTGCGTTCTCTGATGTGATACTGATCTCGTCGACCCGGCTTCGCTTTCGTTCCAGGGCTTGGCACGGCGTGATTGGTTGTGTGACATGATTGTTTACCGCTCTGCATAACATATTGTAGGGCGCTTCATGCGCTTGCAACCTCTTATTGATGCATATCATTCTGCTAATGTCTTACCGTACGTTACATCAGTCGCGTGTGCCTGTGTCTTCGCTGACGCCGCGCTGCCGCCGGTTGTCGCGGCAGGTGATGTTCAAGAAGCAGCCGGAGAAGGAGAGCCCTTCTGCCCGCGACGTCGGGCCGCCGCCCGTCTACGGCGGCTATCGCCTGCAGGCGGAGGCGGCCGACGAGCGGGCGCCGGCGCGGCCTCAGCGGGCCGTCGAGCGGCGCACAGCCGCCCCCGTGGCGACGGCCGCGCCGGCCAGACCGGCGCCCGCAGGTCAGGCACGCACTGCAGGCGCCGCCCGTCCGCTGGGCCCGGTCGAAGGAGCGCGCCAGCGGGCCTGGCCGAGCTGTGGCCGGGCCGGGCTCGAGGAGCGAGCGACTGGGGGGCATGTGGGATCGTCGAGTGTAGCTGGGCTGTTTCGTTTTACTGTTGATGAGCGCGATAGGTCATTCTCATGTCATGCTGGGGCTTCCCTGGATCGCTCCTGTCATGTATATGCGTCCCTGCCCTCACGGCACGTGCGTTGGTGAACTACACCAGCACACTAACGGGCATATGCAATAAAATGTAGAATATGCATCTCTGTACTCATGTTACTGCCAGCCTTGTGCAAATGTTCGCTGACCGTCGAAGCTGCTGTGGGGGCCGTGATAATCTCACGTACGCCTTTAAATGATTGCCGCATTTTACCACACGCGATGGCCAGAAAAAAAGCTGGTTCATCTCCATCTCCATCCAGCTGGCGCGGTGGCAGGTCAAAGCTGTGGCCCGGGCCAATGCGAGGGGTCACGTAATCTTCTGAGCAAGCCGCTATATGTCGGTCCCGCAGCTGCCTGGTTCCGTCCCGATGAGCGGCGACCCGTCTTCCCCGCCGCCTGACCGTTGTGTGTCGGTCCCGCTCCACCCCTGGTTCCGTCCCGGTGCGCTGTGAACCGTCTCCCCGCCCCCTGACCATGGTGTGTCGGTCCCGCTCCGCCCCTGGTTCCGTCCCGGTGCGCTGTGAGCCGTCTCCCCCGCCGCCTGACCGTTGTGTGTCGGTCCCGCTCCACCCCTGGTTCCGTCCCGGTGCGCTGTGAACCGTCTCCCCCGCCCCTGACCATGGTGTGTCGGTCCCGCTCCACCCCTGGTTCCGTCCCGGCGCGCTGTGAACCGTCTCCCCCGCCCCCTGACCATGGTATGTCGGTCCCGCCCCGCCCCTGGTTCCGTCCGGTGCGCTGTGAGCCGTCTCCCCCCGCCGCCTGACCGTTGTGTGTCGGTCCCGCTCCACCCTTGGTTCCGTCCCGGTGCGCTGCGAGCCGTCCTCCCCGTCGCCTGACCGTGGTCGTCCCGCCCCGCCCCTGGTTCCGGCCCGACGGCGGTGACGTTCCCCTCCCCCGCTGCCGCCTAACCGTGGCGTGTCGGCCCCGCCCCGCCCCTGGTTCCGCCCCGACGACGGTGACGTCCATCCCCCCCCCCCATCCCGCCGCCTGACCGTGGCGTGTCGGCCCCGCCCCGCCCCTGGTTCCGCCCCGACGACGGTGACGTCCATCCCCCCCCCCTCCCGCCACCTAACCGGGGCGTGGCGGCCCTGCCCCGCCCCTGGTTCCGCCCCGACGGCGGTGACGTCCATCCCCCCCTCCCGCCACCTAACCGGGGCGTGGCGGCCCCGCCCCGCCCCTGGTTCCGCCCCGACGACGGTGACGTCCATCCCCCCCCCCATCCCGCCGCCTGACCGTGGCGTGTCGGCCCCGCCCCGCCCCTGGTTCCGCCCCGACGACGGGTGACGTCCATCCCCCCCCCCCTCCCGCCACCTAACCGGGGCGTGGCGGCCCCGCCCCGCCCCTGGTTCCGCCCCGACGGCGGTGACGTTCTCCTCCCCCCGCTGCCGCCTAACCGTATTGTGTCGGTCCCGCAGTCGCCGCCGCCAAGGAGGTGGCCGTGGAGAGCAGACCGGAGCAGGCCATCCCGCTGCCGCCAGGTGAGCTCACCTGGTCTGGTACGGCGGGCCGCGCCGGCCGGCAGCGGCGACAGCCCGGCCATCGCTCGACTCAGCCCCGCGGCCAGCCGGGGAAATGGGACACCGCGGCAATCAGCGTACCTTCTTTTGGAGCAGCACGCACCATGGCTTTGTTTTTTTTGTTCGGTGTCACGAGCGATGCACAAGTTTTGGTACTTTTCAGTTCTTGCGCCGCGAATACAATAAGAACGTTGGAGCTGAGAAAGAGAAACGACAACAAACGAAATGGTTTCAGCCACTCGCATTCGAAGTTGGCCAGCAGTTATTGCTCGACTTATTTCAAGAGTACTGTATATTCCGCTTTGGTAATTAACTTCTACCGAACCGATGTCCCATTTTGGTCTTACATGCAATCTTTTTATTCTAGCTATGCGTGATACTGTCCCTGTATTCAGGCTCTGCATATATGAACAGCCATGACATCATTGTATTATGCAGTTTTCTCACCGTGCTTGCGCGCTGCATACAGCCAAACATCGCTTGGGATATACCGTGAGGTTCCGTTACAGTTCGCTGAGCGTGACAAATGCCCATGCGAAAGGTCTGCGTGGGGTGGTTCCGTGGTCACATGCTTTCAATGCTTGCGAGAAGCTGGTGATCGAGATAACTAATGTCTTCATGATTTCCTCGTTTCGCTGCCCCTCAAACAAAGGCGAAAATCATGACAAGAAGGAAGTTAAACAAAGTGAGTAGTCAGTGTGATCCGAGTGATTGAGATGCCCCGTAGATGGGTGAGATCAGCAAATACTTTGCAAGTAAGAAACCCCCATGATATGTTTGTGTGTTATGCGTCGAGCGCTTTTCGGTCTTACGTTATTTCGGTACGTCCCGTCTGCGTGGAGACAGCATAAGTTAAGCATACATTGAGGTTCCAGCGGTTTGCAAATACATAGTCCATTAGACATCCAACGTCTGGGAAAGGCAGTGGCATGCTCGCTGCTCTTATTGGGATAACATGTTCAGACGCGAATCACTGTACGTGTAGCCACTTGTGAACTGCAGGTTCACCCCGCTCATTGGCTTCGTAAGCTAATGCCGGTGGGAGGGTACTGATACTCTATTATCACCGGCTGACATTCGGAGGAGTCTGGGCCGGACCCGCGTCAGTGCAGCCCCTGCAGAGGAGGGTGACACACGGACCTTCCTTCCCCCGGCGCGCAGGGAACAGATATTAGCTATTGCCTTCTGCTGTCCCGGCGGCGAGGACCGATAACGGCCATCACTCCCCCCTCCCCTAGCGGGGATGACGAGATTGACCCTCGCTCTCTGCCCGGCAGGGGAGGCTGAAACTGATCCTGACTTTCCCCCTTAGAGGAGGCTGAGATTGATCCTCTCCCCGGCAGAGGAGGCTGAGACTGACCCTCCCTTCCCCCGGCAGAGGAGGCTGAGACTGACCCTGACTTCCCCGGCAAAGTAGGCTGAGACTGACCCTCCCTTCCCCCGGCAGAGGAGGCTGAGACTGACCCTGACTTCCCCCGCCATAGGAGGCTGAGATTGATCCTCCCTTCCCCCGGCAGAGGAGGCTGAGACTGATCCTCCCTTCCCCCGGCAGAGGAGGCTGAGATTGACCCTCGCTCTCTGCCCGGCAGAGGAGGCTGAGATTGATCCTCCCCCCGACAGAGGAGGCTGAGACTGACCCTCCCTTCCCCCGGCAGAGGAAGCTGAGATTGATCCTCCCTTCCCCCGGCAGAGGAGGCTGAGATTGATCCTCCCTTCCCCGGCGGAGGAGGCTGAGATTGACCCTCGCTCTCTGCCCGGCAGAGGAGGCTGAGATTGATCCTCCCCCGACAGAGGAGGCTGAGACTGGCCCTCCCTTCCCCCGGCAGAGGAGGCTGAGACTGACCCTGACTTCCCCGGCAAAGTAGGCTGAGACTGACCCTCCCTTCCCCCGGCAGAGGAGGCTGAGACTGACCCTGACTTCCCCCGCCATAGGAGGCTGAGATTGATCCTCCCTTCCCCCGGCAGAGGAGGCTGAGATTGATCCTCCCTTCCCCCGGCGGAGGAGGCTGAGATTGACCCTCGCTCTCTGCCCGGCAGAGGAGGCTGAGATTGATCCTCCCTTCCCCCGGCAGAGGAGGCTGAGATTGATCCTCCCTTCCCCCGGCGGAGGAGGCTGAGATTGACCCTCGCTCTCTGCCCGGCAGAGGAGGCTGAGATTGATCCTCCCCCCGACAGAGGAGGCTGAGACTGACCCTGACTTCCCCCGCCATAGGAGGCTGGGACTGACCCTCCCTTCCCCCAGCAGAGGAGGCTGAGATTGACCAGCTGCGCCGCCGACTGGAGGACACGGAGCGCGCCATGGAGCGCATCATGAAACAGATGAGCACCGTCTCACAGAAGCTGAACGCCGCCAAGATCAGCTCCAACATCCGAGCACTGAAGCAGGTGAGTGACACTGGGAGACCGAGTTCCAAGTGGACCTGAGTTCTGAGGCAGGCCTGGACTTTCTTGCTCGGACTGACGACATATCACCCAGCGGACGGCAGTCACGACTTGTGTCCCGTAAAAGGACACAAGCCAGCCGGCCGCCACACTGGCCATAATGCTGCTAGTGAGAGATAAGGCCTGACGCCAGAGTCGATCTTGCCGAGTTTTTGTTCTGTCGGGATTGGTGTTTGTGCAGGAGTCGTCTTTGCACTGTTGATCATTACTGGTGGAGCTCTGCCACTGGTATGGACGCATGGATCACGCAAAGCCAGTTATATTGTTGTGGTTTACTCTGGGCTTTGGTGCTTTTGTGTAAAGATAGGCACATGCCCTTTCACTTTTGGCGTCCCTTACGGCTCACTGGTGGTTTTGAATGATGCTGTGTTTACCCGTTTGCTGCCTAAGGAGAGCGATCCAGACGCCAAGGTAAGGCTTGGTCTGTGCTGGGCCACCCCGATCCAACGTTGGCTGGCATCCTAGCACAGACGACCACTAGTGGTGTATGCACATTTTCGTTCGTCTGCGGCCATCTGCTGCCAAGTAATCTTGTCTAAAATGGGAAGCATCTGAATCACTGCAACGCACCGAGAGTTAGATCACGGTGGAGCGCGCGGCGAGCGAGTGCCGCGACCTGTTCTGACCCGCGCCGGGCGCCTCTTTACAAGCGTGCGATGGACGACGAGCCGGCTG